AGAAAAGAGAGAGAAAAGGGAAAAAAGGAAAAAGAAATGGAATGGAAAGAGTGCTGGGTTCTCACCCTAACCTTTGGGAATGTAAATGTCTTTCTAGATAAACCCAGATCCTGGCTTTTATAATCTAAAGTCATCTCCTAAATTCGGGATTCATCTTTTTTGCTATGTAAATACCTAGAAGATAGTGCTCCAATCCTCCTGATACTTTGGGACTTTACTTAGGGACCCAGTCTAGCTGTAACCATTTGGCTTTCAGGAAGACAGGAAAAATGTTCTCTTTTCAAATCAGAAATAGAGCTACTTCTAGTATATGAAGAGTAAAATGCTTCAGGAGAAGTCAAAGCAAACACTCCCTATCTGCATATCAGACTCATCTCCTTGCCTTAGGAAACTAGGGCTTCTTATAGGAATACTGGGAAAACCAGAAAAGTGTTATTTCCACTGGAGAGTACGTGTTCTTTTCTCAGAATGGAAATACTTGAATTGCTAGTGCGAAAGGAAAATCTTGGAACCCTAAAATTGCTAAGCTAAAGGGAAAATTCAAGCTGGGAACTGCTCAGGGCAAACCTGCCTCCCATTCTATTCAGTCATCCCTCTGCTCACTGAGACAGATGCAGATCTGGTTGCCTCCTTTGGAAAGGCTTATCAGAAAATCAAAGAATGCTCCCATTTGTCTCTCACCTACTTGTGACCTGCAAGTCCCCTCCCTGCTTCCAGTTGTCTCCTCCTTTCTGGACTGAACCAATGTACATCTTATATATATTGGTTGATGTCTCATGCCTCCCTAAAATGTATAAAACCAAGCTGTGCCCCAACCACATTGGGCACATGTTCTCAGGACCTCCTGAGGCTGTCTCACGGGTGTGCATCCTCAACCTTGGCAAAACAAACTTTTTAAAGTAACTGAGACCATCTCAGATATTTGGGATTCACACTAGTAAAGATGTTTTGGTGGTGGTGGTTTGTTTTGTTTCTGGTTTTGTTTGTTTGTTTTTGAGACGGTGTCTCACTTGGTTGCCCAGGCTGGAGTGCAATAGTGCAATCCTGGCTGACTGCAACCTTTGCCTCCCAGGTTCATGTAATTCTCCTGCCTCAGCCTTCCAAGTAGTTGGGATTACAGGCATGCACCACCACACCCGGTGAACTTTTGTGGTTTTTTTTTCAATAGAGATGGGGTTTCCATGCTGGCCAGGCTGGTCTAGAACTCCTAACCTCAGGTGATTCGCCCATCTTGGCCTCCCAAAGTGCAGAGATTAGAGGCGTGAGTCACTGTGCCCCACCTGTCTCTGTCATTTTTTAAAAGGCTTTCCATATCCATAGCTTTCTCCTGTCTCAGGCCAGAGTGGGAGGTGGTGGTAGTGTCTGTGCTCAGTACTTCTTCACTTAAAGTGACATTTTCTGCCCTGTCAGGATCCTTGTTCTCTCTGGCTATAACTGTCATCAACATCTTTTGTGTGCTCCTTCTTACTGTCTATAAACCACAATTATGGGCAAGATTCAAGTTCTTTTCTGTGAAATTCTTAGGTTTCAAGAAAATCAGGAGTTGTGATTAAACATGATGGAGTGCCACCTAGTTCTGCATGTTAGGATCCACGAGCTGTTGCTCATGTTGTTACTATTTACAACCTAGAGACGACGTATAAGATGAATCTAGTTTATGATAAAATAGCAAGACTGAATAGATCATAATTGTGTCGGCTGTGGTGAAGGCACTAAAAATTAAGTTATTTTTCTTTTCTGAATTAACAGATAATGACAATAATCACACATTATTGTATTAGATTATTCTTTCAAATACACTTAGTATTCCTTGCGTCAAAGATACTGTTTTCTTCCGAGTCATTTTGTATAAAGTAATATCCCCCTACACTCTGGCGTAATAAAGCAACCAACTCATATTGCAAGTTTTTTTTTTTTCTCGTAGACAGTTAAGATATATGCAATTTTGCTATTTTATTATAAATTATATTCATCTTATTCATCATCTTTAGGTTTTAAATAGTAGCTGCACTTGTAATATAGTTAAATGCTATTTTAATTCTCCAATGAGTATCTTATATATAGAAATAAAGAATATAAAACTCTAAAAGTGCTTTTCATGCAGTTTCTCATTTATTACTCATAATACTCTGTTATCAACTGAACTGTGTCCCCACTCCCCCCAGTTCATGTTAAAGCTCTAACCCTCAGTGTGATTGTATTTGGAGTATGGCCTATAAAAAGGTAGTATAGGTTAAGTGAGTCACAAAAGTGAGTCTTTTTTTTTTTTTTTCTTTTTTCTGAGATGGAGTCTCACTCTGTCACCCAGGCTAGAATGCAGTGGTATGATCTCGGCTGACTCCACCTCCTGGGTCCAAGCAATTCTCCTGCCTCAGCCTCCCGAGTGCCTGGGACTACAGGCACACGCCACCATGCCCAGCTGATTTTTGTATTTTTAGTCGAGATGGGGTTTCACCATGTTAGCCAGGCTGGTCTCCAACTGGCTGGTCTCGAACTCCTGACCTCGTGATCCGCCTGCCTCGGCCTCCCAAAGTGCTGGGATTACAGGTGTGAGCCACCATGCCCAGCAAGAGTGAGTCTTAATCCAGTATGACTGGTGTCCTCGTAAGACAAGGAAGAGACATAAGAGGCCCCTCTCTCTGAGTGCACATCAGAAAAGGCCCTCACTGAAAAGGATTCAGTGAGAAGGCAGCCCTCCACAAACCAGGAAGAGAGGCCTCACTAGAAACCAGTCCTGAGGGCATCTTGATCTTGGACTTCTAGAAATGTGGCAAATTCATTTCTGTTGTTTAAGCCACTCAGTCCATGGTAGCTCAATTTTACAAATAAGAAAAGAGGCCCAGGAAAGGTTCAGAAACTTGCTCAAGGTCACAAAGCAGCCAGCAGATTTTCAGCAGACTGGATGGCTACAAGATCAGTCAAAATAAGTTAGAAAAGACTTGAAAAGAAGTGCCATAAGCAAGAATATTTAATACACAGAGCATAGCTTATAACAACATAGCAAGATTGCTTACAGTCTAACTGGATTGCTGGATGAGAACTTCAGGCAGAGAGAAGTCATCTTGTAGAGAACATCACGTGACTCAGAAAAGGCAGAAAGAGGCTTTTATCTGTTCTTTTGAGGCTGGATAACCTTTGGACTCAATTCAGGAAGAACTTTCTAAGGTTCGCCTAGGGAAAGAAATGAGAGAGTAGCTAGATGATAAAGTTTGAGACAATAAGATATCCGCTTTCCACACTAATACAAAATAAGGAAAAAGACTACTTCCCACGGTATTCAGAATACAGTTCAAATTCCTTAACAAGGACTATCTTTGTGGTATGATGCTATAATTTATTAACCAATCCAGGACATTTTTTGAAGTGAGAGTGTGCTATTACAATTTTTCCAGGAAAATACGGTTAAACTAGGACAGTTCTGGGCAAACATGTATATACAGTTACCTTGGCGATAAATGAAGGCCCTGCATCATCTTACCACATCTTGTTAAATTTTCCCCATTCATTGATCCTACTTTCTTTCAGTTCTTTGAACATATCCAATCCACTTCTAAGCTCATTCCTGCTCAGGGACCCAATACACACTTTCAGTTTATCTTGTTCAGCTCTTCTCTCTTTGCCTGGTTAACTAATAATCTCCGTAGTGGTCACACTCTGTAGGCCAGTTACACAGCAACCCTTCCCTACTTTTTTCTCAGTGGTACCTGGATTTTGTCCAGCCATCCCTCACACAACTTCCGTCACTTGAGAAACTCTGTAACTACAACCTCAGTCCAGCGAAGGATACTGACAGGAAGAAGTCGGTCAGCTGTGGCATTCCTCTGTCTACCAACAACTTTAGTTTTTAGAGACAGGCTCTCGCTCTGTTGCTCAGGTTGGCGTACAGTGGTGCCATCATAGCTCACTGCAGCCTCAAACTTGTGGGCTCAAGTGATCCTCCTGCTTCAGCCTCGGAAAGCACTGAGATTACAGGTGTGATCCACTGCACCCAGCCTTGTCTGGGCAATGAATTAAGGAAAATATATTAGTTTGGAGCTTCACAAGGCAGAAAACTCTTCTAATTAGTGGTTTGAATGAAACAGAAATTCATTTCTCTCCCTCATTTAAAAGAAGGAGAGAGCCAGGGGTCGGGATGGTGTTATAGCTGTCAAGCACTCAGGGTCCATATTGCTCTGTTATCTTCACATGTGGCTGTAGATCTTCAGATCATATTCACGTTGCAGCAGCAGGAAGCAAGAAGGGACAGGGAAGGGTACACCCCTTCCTTGTAAGAATATAGCCCAGAAATCACTTCCACTTACCTCTATTACCAAAAGAGTCAAAAGGCCACACCTGGTTCTTAGGAAAGCTGGGAAATGTAATCTTTGCTCCAGGTGGCTCTGTGCCCCACCAAAAACTTAGGATCATGGATCTCGGTGCACAACTAGCAGTCCTTCTGCCACGGTGCACCAATTAGCCCGAAGGGAAGGACTTAGTCCTAGCATATTCCCCTTTCCCTCTCCTGCTGGACATGAACAAGAAGACAAGAAATCCTAGTTGCAACTCTTTAAGTGAGAGAAAAACAAACACCCAATTTTTTTAGACTTCTTATAACCATAAAAAGACTCAGGCTTCGAAGGAAATTGATACTGTGGGCAGCAGAGCCAACACAAGAACCCAGGCACCTGATAATATGGTTTAGCCACTGAAACCACCAACTGCAAAACCTGCTCTAGCTCTCCATGAGCTGCCAAGAGCAGAAACTTCTTTATTGTGCAGGCCACTTTGGTTCAGAGTTTCTTTTCCTTGTAGCTGAAAGCATCTTAATGAAATTCCTATAGGTGCCCTACACACTCAACCTCTGTTATAATTTATCTTAGTAACTTCTTCTTTTCCTTTATAGCCTTTATTATAATTTTGAATCATTTGTTACTTGCTTGAAGTTTATCTCCTCTGCTAGGCTGTGAGCCATGCCCTTTGGGTCTAGATTTGTTTTGTACTTTGTTGTATACCTAGTGAATGAAACAAAATGGCTAGCATGATGCTTGGCACACAGTAGGTGTGTAAGTAAATGGTAGCTATCATAAAAATGATGTTTGACTAATAAGCCTTTCTCATTCGAAGAGATCACCTCTCCTTAAAGGTAGCATTAAAGCCACATGAAGTAATGAAGGACAGTTTGGGGAGTCATTTTCTCCTTTATTCTGCAGGATTTTGTCATATACTACTCATTATTTCAACTACATCAAGATCTATTTTATAGTTTTGGTGTGACCTCAAATTTGACCTCAAAGTTGAATACTGGACTACTTAGAGCTATAGCTTGGTAAAGGAAGGACTGCAGAGCTGAGTGCCCAGGTGACAGTCACAGCTGCAGCACAGGTGGTTGTGCTGTTGCTTTCCCTCAGATACCACAGGAGTGGTGACTACATAAATGTGACTAGGGTCGTTCTCAGTCTCTTCTGTCACATTACAATACTGAAGTGATGTCTTCCCAAACACTGGAGGTCTTGCCTTCTCATCTGCAGATGGCAATCCCATTCACGTCTAGCTTTTAAGCACACAGTTTTCTTCCTGAGGGCATGTTTCTTGATAAGTTTTCCTTTTTATACCCTCTTCCCAAAGCTCCAAAATCTGTCATTTTTTAAAACTTCAGGTAATAGGAAATAATTTAAATAATATGTTTATATCTACAGGTAATCTCTAAAGTCATTACATTCCATGTTGAGGTGTACTTCTGATGTCTTTTCTGTCTCATATACTGTTTGTTTATATATCTAGGACATTAAGTTTTAATTACAGTCATATGTCACAAATGTTTCAGTCAAGGACAGACTGCATACATGTAATATATAAGATTACATATATAATACTGTATTCTTACTGTACCTTTTCTATGTTTAGATATGTAGATACACAGATACTTACCATTGTGTTAGTGTTGCCTACAATATTGAGTACAGTCACATGCTGTACAGGTTTGCAACCTAGGAGCAATAGGCCATACCACATAGGCTAGGTATGTTAGGCTATGCATCTAGGTTTCTGCAAGAACCCTCTATCATGTTTACACAATGATGGAATTGCCTGATGATGCAGTTGTCATAACATATCTTTGTTGTTAACCAATGCATGACTGTATTATTTATCTCAGTTCTCCATTGTATCTCAATGTGATTAATTACTACATAAGGTGCTTGAGAAAAAAAGTATAACTATGGCATTGATCACTGGTAAAATATATGTCTTTACTTTCAAAAACTTTGTTTAGACTTTTTTCTTACTTTTAGCAATGGCGATACTAATTAGGTATCATTTATTGAGTTCCTACACTATTCCAGGTATTATGACAGATAGTTTATATAATGCAAGCAGAAAAAGAATGTATTTAATGAGTGGGCCAAGGGTTATACTACAAGCTGCTCTATGTTATACAGAATGAATCGTTGGAATGGTTCAATAATAGGAAATTATCTGAATTTAAAACATTTTAAATTATCATTTGCATTTAGATGTTACTCACTGAATTACAGAGTAACTAAACATTTACACACACACAGATCAAAAATACATTTTTAAAATTTGATAAAGTTCACAGAATAATTGGGAGGGTTAAAAGCAACTCATCTTTTTATTAGTATGAGTATTTTTTAGATGTATAAATATCCCTATTTTTAAAATTTTTGAGATTTAATTCACTCACCTCACCTAATCATGGATACTTTGTCTTAAAATGGAAATAAAAATAGGCATTTAATCTCTGCCCTCCCACTCCGATATCGTCTCCCCCTGGTCCTCTGTTTCCCAGCTTCTGATGGTTACGATCCATGACTTCCTGACGTCTCCCTCTAACTAAAGCTTCAATTTTCTAGCTGTTTAGTCTATCCTGACTATAACAAGGCAGATATCAACAGCATGAATGCCCTCATGCCCTAGAGTTCAGCCTAATTAATTAACAATCCTTCACTGCAATCCGGGAGCCCAGCTATGACAGTTTTGCTCCTCTAGTCTCCTTAGTGAGTAGCCACGTGTGCTCATAAAGTGCAACTTTTCTTTCTCATTGCTGTTATCACCACCTTATATTGAACTGAGAGTCTGCCATGGTCTCTACTTCTAAATTCAGCCAGGTTATTCAACTTACTGCCCTGGGAGTCTTGCCCCGAATATGTACTAATACCTATACCCTGCATGGACACACATTAGGCTTCACTTGCCTAATGCCTGGATATTGTCTCTATTGTTAAGTTTCTCAACACTGGGTTCTTCTCTTGTGATCAGAAAATTCAGCCCAATCAGAGCATATAATACATCAAGGTTATGTGCCTAGAAAATGCAACCTTGCAGAAAAGATTTACTAATAATGATTTCTGTAAGACTGAATGGAAACGGTCGAGATGTATTTCCAGATCTTCATCATCTATGTGTTTTATTCTAACAACTCTCTCCCTAGACCTTTAAATAACTTTTATATTATGTAACATACAAAAAAAATGATTCTTGCCTTAAAAATATTGATTCTAGGCTTGGTAGAAGGACTGCAAGTAAACTCTAAGGTGTTAAACAGAGAAGTGCAAGTGTCATGTATGTACTGCTCTGTATTCACACTGATATCCAATGGCTCAATGAACACTGAAAATGGAGAAATGTAACCGGTGGGTCAACTAAAGGTTATTTCTCCTTTATCCCTGTTTGAGAAAATAAGGAAGAAATGGTTGATTTACTGTTTTTGTTCTGAGGATAATCATGTCAAGAATCATTTGGAATCACCTCCAGGAAAACTGTCGCAAAACTGACCATCTTCTAAATATGGCAACTTACGGTGAAGCATGTCTCACACAAATGAATGACATAAATGCAGAAAGATATCTGCAGGTTTCACGCATAACTTACCTCAGATGCTGATTACTGCCAAAATTACAACTGCCCTGCACCACTCTTGGGTGCTGAATCTTGCCTGTCTAAATGATAAAATCAGTGTGCACAAGATCATTTTCTTGGCATCTAGGACCAGATTGCATGCCAGGCAATGAGTTCTTTTCTTCCCTACCCACTCACCGAAGCAGAATTTTTGCTTCAAATGTTTCAGTTTTAGTAGTATATCTATATCACTTGAATGGTACTTTCTACTTTCTTCCAATAAAAGGGTTCCCGGAGTGTAATACGGAAAAAAAAAGAAAGAAAGAAAAAAGAAAAAACCATATTCTCCAGCACCCAGAAGCTAAAACAAATGAATTCTTTTAAAACATTTTTTTTTCCAGAATAGACTTTTCAAAGGAAACCATGAAAAATTCAGACATTTCCTTATTTTTTTTTTTAAGTTACCAAATGGAATAATAGAGTTGCATATGAATTTTTAACTCTATAGGTATTCTCAGTAATAAAAACATGTGCACGGCTCATCTAACCTTCTCTTTCATATACTGATTTTAAATTCTTTTCAGCTTTATATCCATAAATAAGGAGCATGAAAGTAGCAACAGGTCCACAGAAAGAACAGACCTTCAATAATGGATTTTGCCTGATTTATTCCCTTTATATGGAGGTCAGAAATGCTGATGAAGATACTGAGTGCCTCAATGGTTAACAAGAGGTGAAAGCATTTCCCCACACAATTCTGGGCATATGTGTGTAAAGAGAACGCTGAAAATCAAGACTGAGCAGCTATTAAATAACTCAAGGTCAAGAACCTAGGGAAATGGGTCCATGTGAGTTAACATGACAGGCAGAGCCTGAGATGGTAACTGGGAACTAGAGGGCAGAGACAAGGATTCTGAGTGTCAGGCAGAATAAAACTGAGGTACAGCAGGTCAAAATATGTGAGCAGTATAGCATCCAAAACAAAAGACTGAGATGCTTAACAGGACTTAGGATAAAAAAATAATAATAATAATAAGTTAAAAAAATAATAAAACCGTTACAGAAAAGAATGGGGCTAAGTTTCCCTAGACTCTGCAGAAATCCTTAAGACATTCTGAATATGCAAATGTATGAAATGGGAGATAGCCCTTGTGTTTAGGGTTCTCAAGACCAACCCACCAGAAGGGCTCACAGGATTAAATATATATAATCATATTCACAGTTAGGCGTATTACAGTTAAAGGATATACAACAAAATCAGCAAAGGGAAAAGGAGCATGAGGAGCAGTTTGGAAGAAACCAGGCACACACTTCCAAGAGTCCTAATGGAGTCACACAGGATGTGCTCAGTTCCTCCAGTAACAGATTTGTGTGAAGTTATCAACCAGGAGAGCTCATTAACCAGTGTTCAAGGTTTTCACTGAGGGGCGGCAACGTAAGCACCCTCTGCCTAACACACACCAAAATTCCAGCCTCCCAGAAGGAAGGTAGGTGTTTAACACAAACCACATTGTTTCTACAAACAGTTTAGGACATTCTTATCATTTAGGGAAATTTTTATATCAGTGTAGGAAACTATCAGCCAAGTTCTCCAACACCAGCCAAGGGCCAACCTTGCAAGCAGGTCTTTTTAAAGAATAGAAGTCTCAGGTGTGTTACATCAACTCTTTCCTACATAGTTCCCACCACAATTTTCCCTCTTTGTTTTCTTTTCAGATATAGCTGCTTTTGTTTGCACATGGGAATCCAGAAACTTTCCTATCATCAAAAAAAACTCAAGTAAAATAATTAACTCACCACATAGGACCTTAATTTCTGGATCTTATTTATTCTAGAGCTCTAGTTGTCTCAATATATCATTAATGGGGATTAGCCGCACTTCGAGTAGCAAGTATTTCCCTAAAGCCAGTGTTTATATTGGTAGTGATTTCACAGGTCCATTAACCTCAGCTGGGACTAGTTTCTTTAGAATGAAAATGCAGTGATACAAACTAGAACCTGGGTTCTCTGGTGACCAGATGTTCACGATAGCATATTACAGATATAATTTCAGCAGTGGGTTTGTGGGTGAATCAGAAAAGGCCAAGAAGACAGAAAAATTTACTAGCTTTGTTAACTGCGAGAATGCTACATACAGGCTTCACAAGGAGCCAAGCAAACTCTCTCACTTTCCTAAAAAGTATAGTTGTCCAGATAATATAAGCAGAGAAGCTGAATATCAACTGCTAAAACTATTCAAAGAATCCCAGTAACTTTTGGATGTCCTTGATTGTCTAGAGAATATGGAAGGGCTTCTTGTCCATTTTCCTTGGGAGGGTGAGGTATAGATTCTCAGAAACCAATGATCTCTGGTATCCTATCTGGTTCTGCTCTTAAGGAAACTCAATAAATGATTCTGACACGTGCGCGTGGGCCAGGCAGCTATGACTACATGAGCTAACTGCTCAAGCAAGTTCAGGGTCAAGTGCCTACAGGTGGGCTAGAAACATAGTTCAACAGCTAGGTTCAAATAGCAAGTCTGAGAAAGGAGGGCCTGAGATGGGAATGAAGAACTAGAGTGAAAAGCCAAGATGCAAAAGAGTGACAGTGATGGGAGAACAAAACTAAGGAAGAGAAGCTGCTTGGAGAAATACTATACTTAGAGGTCTGTGGCAGACAATGGGCTTTTTATAAGTTCTCCATGGTCTACTGAGTGAATAAAATAGTTCTGTTTGAATGAATCTGAGCTGAGTAGGCAAACTTAATATTAAAAAAAGGAAAATAAATGAAGGAAATATACTGTAATAAAAATTAAAATATATTCTTAAATTTTCTTATGTGCCATAGGAATCATTCTTTAAAAAGCTTTCAACAGAAATAAAATGACCTGAAAGCAACGATTTTAAACTACTGCAACAGGCCTGAGATATCGATCCTTAGAAAGACCTGTAAGCAAGGTTGGCCCTTGGCTGGTGTCTGGGAACGTGACTGGTAAACAGTTACCCACACGTTCCTAAGTGATAAGACTGGTTTACTGTGACTAACTGTCCACAATGTGGTTTATGCCAAACACCTTCACACAACGTCCCAGCTTTCCTTCTGGGAGTCTGGAATTTGAGTACATGCTAGGGAAAAACTCGTTTTCCTTAGGAACTTTTTTTTTTTATCTTTTTTTTTTTTTTTTTTTTTTGAGACGGAGTCTCGCTCTGTCGCCCAGGCTGGAGTGCAGTGGCCAGATCTCAGCTCACTGCAAGCTCCGCCTCCCGGGTTCACGCCATTCTCCTGCCTCAGCCTCCCGAGTAGCTGGGACTACAGGCGTCCGCCACCTCGCCCGGCTAGTTTTTTGTATTTTTTAGTAGAGACGGGGTTTCACCGTGTTAGCCAGGATGGTCTCAATCTCCTGACCTCGTGATCCACCCGTCTCGGCCTCCCAAAGTGCTGGGATTACAGGCTTGAGCCACCGCGCCTGGCCTTTTTTTCATCTTTAAAGAGAGTCACAAACTGGAATTTTGTGACTCTCTTTAAAGATGAAAAAAAAAAAGTTAGCACTCCTGGAATTATCACATTGGAATAGTCTACTTACCAGTCTCGAGTGATTATAAATCCTTTGATTAACCAAGCAAGTATCTTCAAAACAACAACCACAACAAAAACCTACTGCAATAACTTCTGGCCTGGTCTACAAACTGGCAGTCTCATCCCTCTCAAAGAAATTACTTATTTACTGAGAGCCTACATGGTTATGACACTCAACTGATCTGAAATCCTCAAAAGTTCGTTAGTGTCTCTTGAATTATGATCAAACTTATTAGCCTGGCACTCAGGCCTTTTACAATTTGTCCTTGGCCTACATATTCAATTTAGCTTTACACTTTACCATTTTACCCATTTACACTTTAACTGTTTGTTGCCTGTGTGTGACATGTATGCTTTCCATGAGAATTCTTTCAAAAATATCACGATCTATGATTTCAAGGTATCTCAATTCAATAAGAATTGTTTTGCCCATCTACTGTGTGCACGGCTCAGTGTCCTGGGCACTGAAAGGGATAGAAAAATGAACAAGACTAGATCCCCACTCTCCATGCTGGACAATATAATTCACAGTCGCTTTCTGAAAATCACGAGTCCTTGATGTGCTAGATCTATAACATGCTCCACTGCAGGAACTTCCCTGGGGAGCTTGGTGCTTCGTGGACTCTTTGGATATTCCCAGTAACACCATATGTACTTAGAACGCTTTTATTGGCTGGGTGCGGTGGCTTATGCCTGTAATCCCAACATTTTGGGAGGCCTTGGCGGGCGGATCACCTGAGGTCAGGAGTTCAAGACCAGCCTGGCCAACAAGTTGAAACTCTATCTCCACAAAAAATACAAAAAAATAGCTGGGCGTGGTGGCAGGCGCCTGTAATCCCAGCTACTTGGGAGGCTGAGGCAGGAGAATCGCTTGAACCTGGGAGGCGGAGGTTGCAGGAAGCCGAGATCGTGCCATTGCACTCCAGCCCGGGCAACAAGAGTGAAATTCTGTCTCAAAAAAAAAAGAAGGCTTTTATTATATCTTTTAAGTTTATCTCCTTTTTAAACCGCATTATCTGTCCATGTGCACACAGCTTTATTTAAAGATTTCCTCATCAAGTGATTTGTTGTTCTTACCTCTTCCTAGCTTGATGTTACAGTGAGAGAAGAGAGACAGACCCTATCATATTGTTTTATACTGAGAAAAGGAAAGAGAAGTGAAACTAAAGGCAGGTAGCCTGGCGCCTAGGGACCAGACCCAAAACCAAGGAACCAGACTGAAACCAGGCCTGGGCCTGCCTGACCTAAGCCTGGTAGTTAAAGATCGACCCCT